GGTTGAACCTGCAACGGGGGAGAAGAATTGATATCGGTATGTTCGAACGATGCTTCTCCAATCCACGCACTTTTTAAATTTAGTTTAATTTTATTCATGAACGTTTTGAATACTGCGCATTATCAGGGCATATCATTTGCAAACGAAAAACAAAGGGAGAACAAAAAGAAATATTAGCACATTTACTGGTAACAATAGTAGTGATTTAACGGAATAGCTTGCCTCAGTTTCTCTTTATATTAGCTTATTCAAAATTCTGTTAATTATATTGTCATATTTATGATGATAAACCATCTTTACCTTTAATTCATACCTAGCAATCATCTTTCTTCATCTAATTTCTACCTCTTCTCTCTAACCACTCATAAAACCTATTCCGTGTCAAATAATACTCCGTGTCTCCTTTTATTTTCAAAGTCAATCTATCCATCTCTGCACCGTCTAATATTTTCCGAATTACATCCTCATCTGATGGAGTGTCCACATTTTCCCAATCTTGTGCAAATACAATCCTTGCTGCTGTTCAATACATGCAAAATTAAATATATAGTCCCTTTATCATAACCCTCCAACGTTATACCCAAGACAAATATTTCTGGTTTCAGATCCATATGTTGCTTAATCGTCTTTTGCAGCCAAATGTGTATTTTCTTCCAATATTTTCTTGCTTTCATACAAGTCCACACCACGTATGATAAGAAGCACCTGGGATCTGATTAAATTTCCCCACATATATAACACTCTCTCTCTCTCTCTCTCTCTCTCTCTCTCTCTCTCTCTCTCTCTCTCTCTCTCTCTCTCTCTCTCAGAACACTAAGGGATTAAAATGTACAAAAGAAATATATGTACACATAGATAGAGATCAGGTGTATTGCATATAAATTAGTACATTAGTAGACTAATATACATAAAGGCAGTATAAATACATATCTTGGGCATAAGAGGTATTGTAGATAAATTAATATATTAATAGACTATCATGTATAAAAGAAATATATGTACACATGTATGGATAAAAATGGTGTAATGGAGGAATACCGATGTGGAAATGTTGCAAAGATGATAATTGTGTTAAAAAACTGGGGGGGAAATGTTCAATAAAAGTATTTTTTTTTAAAAGAAAAGAAACAATATCTGCAAGAAAACAACTGAACTCAGAGATCACCAAGGACCCCACAGTCCTCCTCCTCCTCCTCTTCCTCCTCCACTTCCTCCTCCTCCTCCTCTTCCTCCTCCTCTTCCTCCTCCTCCTCCTCTTCCTCCTCCTCCTTTCTAGCACTGAGGATGTTACCCAGTTGTGTAATGAAACATCTGCATGAAAACCACCAAGCTCAGAAAGCACCAAGGACCCCAACAGTCCTCCTCCTCCTCTTCCTCCTCCTCCTCTTCCTCTCCTCTTCCTCCTCCCACTCTTCTTCCTCCTCCTCTTCACCCCACTGCCTTCCAGCACTGATGATGTTCCCTAGTTGGGTCATGAAATGTCTGCAAGAAAACCACCAAACTCAGAGAGCACCAAGGACCCCACAGTTGTCCACAACCACCTCTTCCTCCCTCCCTCCCCTTCCTCTTCCTCCCTCCTCTTCCTCCTCCTCTTGAAACCCTCCCTTCCTTCTAGCACTGATGATGTTCCCTAGTTGGGTCATGAAACGTCTGCATGAAAACCATCCAGCTCAGAGAGCACCATGGATCCCACAGTCTTCCTCCCCCCTCCCCTTCCTCGCCTCCTCTTCCTCCTCCTCTTCCTCCTCCCTCCTCCTCTTGAAACCCTCCCTTCCTTCCAGCACTGATGATGTTCCCTAGTTGGGTCATGAAACGTCTGCATGAAAACCACCAAGCTCAGAGAGCACCAGGGACCCCACAGTCTTCCTCCCCCCTCCCCTTCCTCGCCTCCTCTTCCTCCTCCTCTTCCTCCTCCCCTCTGCTCTTGAAACCCTCCCTTCCTTCCAGCACTGATGATGTTCCCTAGTTGGGTCATGAAGCGTCTGCATGAAAACCATCCAGCTCAGAGAGCACCAGGGATCTCACAGTCTTCCTCCCCCCTCCCCTTCCTCGCCTCCTCTTCCTCCTCCTCTTCCTCCTCCCCTCTGCTCTCGAAACCCTCCCTTCCTTCTAGCACCGATGATGTTCCCTAGTTGGGTCATGAAACGCCTGCATGAAAACCACCAAGATCTGAGAGCACCAGGGACCCCCTAGAACAGAACCTATTGGAGATGCTGGTGGAGGGACAAGAGAGGAATCAAAATGGGTTTGTCCTGGGCACATGGGCAGAGGAAGGTCTGGCCACCCTGATCCCCCACATTACCTCCGGGCAAATCCAAAGTCAATGATCTTCACCATGTGCCCAGTGGCCGTCACACACAGGATGTTCTCGGGCTGCAGAATAAGGAGAAAAGGGGTGACCACATGAGGGGGAATAGATCAGGAGCTTTGAGCTTCCTATTGATCTGTAAAGATCAGGAGCTTTACAGATTAACAGGGTTGGAAGGGACCTCGTAGGTCATGTTATTCTTCTTTTTTAAAAAAAAAATTTATACTGAATAAACATTAAAAACACTGGACATAGAGTGACCTTTCTGGCTTTGCCATTTCCGTACAGATTTTAACATAACAACAAATACAGTTTTTTTTCTACATGGCTACATTAATCTTATAAACACATCCCTCACCCTCCATTATATTATATTGATCTATGTATTATCCAGTTCCAATTTTCCAATCCTCAAAATATTCTGTTCCGGCTCCTTTTCCTCATTTCCAACCGTTGGTACATTTAGTTCCAAATTTCAGAATGGAATAGAATAGAATAGAATAACAGAGTTGTAAGGGACTAGGGGAGACATGATAGGAGTCTTCCAATATCTCAGGGGTTGCCCCAAAGAAGAGGGAGTCAAGCTATTCTCCAAAGCACCTGAGGGCAGGACAAGAAGCAATGGATGGAAACTAATCAAGGGGAGAAGCAACCTAGAACTGAGGAGAAACTTCCTAACAGTGAGGACAATTAACCAGTGGAATAGTTCGCGTTCAGAAGCTGTGAGTACTTCATCATCGGAGGTTAAGAAGAGATTTGACAGCTACCTGTCTAAAACGGTATAGGTTTCCTGCTTGAGCAGAGGGCTGGGCTAGAAGACCTCCAAGGCCCCTTCCAACACTTGTTATTCTGTAATTCTGTAAGGGTCTCCTGCTT